CCCTCTCCTGTTCACCCTCTTTCTCTCTTTCTCTCTCAAAAAATAAACATTAAAAAAAAAAAAAAAGAATGTTTCAAACCCTGTTTAACTCCAAGTGTGCAAGAGTACCATACTTCTTGACAAGCTAAACACAATGGGCACAGGATGATTTGCACCCACTCTCTAAACAGTCGGATGGCAGCACCATCAACACCAGGAAATACTTAAAATATCCACAGGGCCACACCAGTGTTGGGCCAGCTAACCACTGCCCAGGATTTGGGGCTGATTAACTGGATGACTTTTTGACAAACAAAATAAAAAGATTTTTCTAAAACTCCGTAAATCCATAAGCCAATCAGACAAAAGCGTGTTTCTAAAGGCATTTTAAACGCTGCCAGTTATTTTATGACAATTTCTGGCTCTTATGAATCGAACATCAGGGACTGTTCCCTATTTGTACCAAACATTTCATTGTATTTGCAGTTAGCACAATTTCTTACATCTATCATAGGCTAGCCTCCATCACCATCCAGGGGGAACTGCACAAGACCAATTTGTAAGATGCTAGAAGCAAAAAGGGATTGCCACACATCATCTAATTCCCTTTTGTGTTTCAGTACAGATAGCAAGGTCTGAAACTTAGATTCTCCTTCAAATTTAATTTTTCCAAGTTCAAATCATTTAGTCACAAAAGCTTCTCTTTGCACAGACCAGCCTAAATTAATTTAGATGAAAAGAATGGGACTTCCTGATCTTTAGTCTTCTGGAGAAAGTCAATCAAACACTTACCCATAATCTTACCTTGATAACATATCCAGTTCCACACAGATTTTCTCAACCTACAATTCAGCTAGCTTTAGGCCACATCCTGGGTCAATAATCCTTATAATACATTGGAGTACAAATCATGTGAATTAGTAAAATCCTGTTCAATTACCTTTTTATATTATCCACCTGGGAGCACTCTGATTTTCTCATCCCGGTTTCAGACATGACCAATCTCATAATCTTCTCATAAACTGTTGAATCACCAAATCTCAACCAGCTCCTTCTGACAGTATAATTGATTGCCTCTCAGGTTCCCCCAACAAGCTTGCAATGATTCCTGAGGGCAAGAGAAATGGCTAGCAACTGGGTTTTCAGCCATTTAGCACCCAGCCATGGGAGTGAAGAGCTGCCATATACGAAAACCAGATTTCTATCCACTCCCAGACCATTCTAGGTTGTTATTTCTTGGACATTTCTACTCTTCCCTCATGGTTTACCTCCTGATCTAAACTAATCAAGAGAATCTTTGAAATGCACTAGCCAATAATCTGCCAGGCTTCTTTGACATGAATACTAAGAGTCAAAATGGCTGGAAAATCATTACTATCATGTACTTCAGCTTCCACTGGCACCATTGCCAGTATGCTAACCCACCACTTGATAAATGGAAGTTATTATTGTCACTCTGGTTTCTTCCATGTGTTGGGAAAAGGTGCAGGAGGTGAGATGTGATAGCACCTTCAGTTAGCTGGAGGAGTTTCAAAATGCTGATGGCAGACCTGCAAGGTCTGGGTGACAGAGCCAGGAGAAAAGCAAATTCAATTCAAAAATGCCTTGAAAATAATGTGGGTTTTTGTTGAGAGTCTCTTTAGGAGGAATCCAAGGAAGAATTTTATCTCACCACACCCAACAAAGCTCCTGGGAATCCTCTTTTCGAATGTCTGCCCCCTACCTCCCACCAACAGCTGTTTCTCTCCCCTCCTCCTCTCTTCCACTGTCTTCAACCTTGTTCTCTTTGCTTCCTTACTACCCCTTCTCCCTCTTTCCTCCCTCCTCAAGTGGAGAAATAAGCCTGCTCCTGACTTCTGTCTCTTAATTTTGGCAAAGACCTAGCAGGTGAGTGAGCCAGCCAAGAATCCTTCCTCTGGAAGTCAAGGAATGGCAAGGGACTGGTATTGTATACATTTAGATTTTAATTTTTTTTCCTTCTCATGACAGCAGTATCAGACCAGATCCAGTCTCCCTGCTGAGTTCCCAAGGAACACACACAGGGCCTCTACAGTTTTATCCCCATACCCTTAGAACAGCAGACAAAGGATGTGAAGGACCATTCTTCGCTGCTCTCCTTGGACCATTGACCACCTTTTGCTTGGTGACCTAGCTAGCTGTCCATCACCAGAATCATTCAGGAGGAAGAAGAATGATCTGTCAGGGACTCCTTCTGTGTCTGTGATTCTAAATGCCCCTGCTCCTTGCAGTTCAATGCCCTGTCCTCATTACTTCTTTAAAACTGACTGCTCACCTTTCTATCCTTTAGCCCATAGCATACAGATGGCCCTTGAACAACACAGTTTGAAACTGCGTGGGTCCACTGACGAGCAGATTTTTTTTTAAATAAAGACACATACAGTATCATAAATGTATTTTCTCTTCCTTGTGATTTTCTTTTTTTAAGTTTTTTAAAGTTTTCTTTTTTAAAAGTTTCTTTTTAAAAATTTATTTATTTTTGAGAGAAACAGAGAGGCAGAGAGAGAGAGAGAGAGAGAGAGAGAGAGAGAGAGAGAATCCTAAGCAGGCTCTACACCGTCAGCACAGAGTCCAACAAGGGACTTGAACTCAAAAAACCAGGAGATCATGACCTGAGCAGAAATCAAGAGTAGGACTGCTGTTGACTCAGAACAACGTGAGGGTTAAGAGAGCCCCCCACCCCTTATGATATTCTTAATAACATTTTCCTTTCTCTAGCTTACTTTATTGTAAGAATCCACTACATAACACATATAACATACAAAACATGTGTTAATCAACTGTTTGTATTACCAGTAAGGCTTGCTAGGCATTAGTTTTCAGAAAGTCAAAAGTTATGCATGGATTTTTGACTTCCAGAGGCATTGGGTGGGGGATAGGGGTGGGCACTCTTAACCCTCACGTTGTTCCAACTGCAGTTGTTATCAGTCCCTCTTTATTTACCGTCGCACTGAAAACCTTCTAATAATCTCATCTCAAAAATCTCAGTCTTACCCTCTTCATGCTTCAGGCTGTCACAATACACCAAAGTTAAATGTTATCTGTCCAACTTCTAATTTGGGTTTGTTGAATTGTGTCCTGTTTATCATACAATAATATTGAGGAAGAATTCTATTTTCTTCTGCCTACCCACATCCATGGAACTCACACTTGGTATGACTCATGGGAACTAGAATACTTAAGAAGTGATAGTTGTGGCAAGCACCCAACTTCCATTATTTTCTGAGGGATAAATAAATAATACTGTGCCAAACTTATTAGACAGGCCTCTCTTTGGAGACAAGTGACAGGAACTCAATTCATGCTAGCTTAAGCAAAAAAATGAATTTGTTGGCTCACTTAACTGGGAAATCCAGGAGTTTGTACTGGCCACAGACACAGCTAGGCCCCAGGTTAAAACAAAGTTGTCAGGGTTTGTCCTCTAAACCTCTCATTTCTTTTTGCCCCTTATTAGTCCCAGTCTTTCCTACTTCAAAAGAGCTCCCCCACCCCCCAAAAAAAGAGCTTCTGTCATACACTTGGGAAGACTGTTGCTGGCAGTTACCAACTATGACACCCCAATTTAGCAATACCAGCAGAACACAAAATCTCTCTCTTGGTATTCATATACTAATTCCAGGGAAAGACTCTAATTGATTCTGCTTAGTTGAAATGCCCACCCTTTATGGGGCGCCTGGGTGGCGCAGTCGGTTAAGCGTCCGACTTCAGCCAGGTCACGATCTCGCGGTCCGTGAGTTCGAGCCCCGCGTCGGGCTCTGGGCTGATGGCTCAGAGCCTGGAGCCTGTTTCCGATTCTGTGTCTCCCTCTCTCTCTGCCCCTCGCCCGTTCATGCTCTGTCTCTCTCTGTCCCAAAAATAAATAAATGTTGGAAAAAAAAAATTTTTTTTGAAATGCCCACCCTTTGGACCACTGTTGCCAGAGGAATGGGGTACTGTAGTTTTGAGCCTACATAAAACCACAGGAAAGGGAGAGGACTGATGTCCCAAAGGAATGAATGCTGGACAGAGAAAATGACATATGTCCACTACACGAATGGACGGAGGGTTAGGACACCGTTTGGGAGTGAAAGGATTTGTGTCCCTGTGCTCTTTGTGATTGGGATGTGTGATTGTTGACAAGACACTTCGCCTTTTTGAGCCTCAACTCTTCACGTATGAAATGGTTATGTGGAAGTTGCCAGTACAATATTAAATTATATGTTACAGTATCTCTGTGCTGGTACCAACTGAATTTTCAGATAATGAAAAACTGAGTTGAAGAAGGCAATGCAACAGCGCCGGCCCCCACTCCTCTATTTTTATGCGAGTACATTTATGGAGCACTTCACATTTTGCGAAAAGCTCTTTCATCTACCACACAAATTGGAAAACGAAGCTGAAGGAGCTGGAATGCTTAGAATACAGACTAAAATTAACTTATTTGTGTAACTGTACCCACACGCAGACACGCAAAATATATGACGATACTGCAATTGAATCATTTCCTGGATTAAGAAAAGTGTCAGAGACTCACTCAGGGACAACACGCACGCAGGCACGCACATCATAAGGCAGGGATCCCTATGAGCACGTAGGCACAGCCCTCTCCTCTGGGGAGTCCACTCTAGGGTTACGGAATTTCAGGGCCAAGCACCAATCCCTAACGTGTGTGTATGTGTGTGTGTGTGAGAGAGAGAGAGAGAGAGAGAGAGAGAGAGAAGAGTAGAGGCGGGAGAAGAAGGGAGCACAAGACAGACTAGGAAATTTTAAAAACACGCCAAAAAACAAAAACAAAAACTACAGAACGTCTGCTGCTGGACCCTTCCAGGAACGCAGCGGCCTTGGCACCTTCGCGGCAGTCCCCTCCTTCCGCCCACTCCTGCTCCAGACGCTCGAAAATCCGGCTCCGCGTTTTCCCTCTCTCTCTCCCGCCCTTCGGGTTAAAGCTCCCCCGCCAGGAGTAAACAAGCAGCCCAAACAGGCAGCCAGTAGGACTGGCCCCTTCTCCTCGTTTCCTGCGCCAGCCCCAGCAACAGGCCCCGCCCCTCACGACAGGCCCCGCCCCGCGCCTTCCAAGCTGCCCGCCTTCCCCTTGGCGGCGTCCGCCGGCTCTGGCCGTGTCCAGGCCCTGTGCCCAGTGTTCGGCCCCGTGCCCAGTCCCTGATCCGCCCCCGGAGCTTCCTCCCTCGGGACCCCGCGGCCCGCCCGAGCGCCCCCGGCCCGCGCCGAGGGAGGGTGCGTGGCGCACACGTGACACGTGTTGTGGGCGGAGCCTGCGCCGGCAGAGATGCCGGCGGAGGTGGCCCGGGGGAGGGTGGGCGCGGGCCTCGCCTAGCTCTCGCCCCGGAGCTCGCGTAGGCCTCGGCCGGCCCGCCCGCCCCGCCCCTCCTCTAGCCCGGCCGGGGCCCTGCTCTGGCTCCTCGCCCGGCGAGCGCTGCGCTAGGCCTCCCGTTGATTTTGCCACTGTTACGGCTCCTCCTCCTGCACCCTCCGCGCGCAGCGCGGCTTAGGGGCTCGCCCTCAACTCTTCCCCCAAGTCCCTACCCGGCAAAGCCTCTTTCCTTAAGTTTCTTGCCTGGGGTCCACAGACCCTGTATAATCACACCCCCACCCCCAACCCCCGCTGCATAAACACACCGCCTTCCTGCCTCCACCCATAGAGACGTCTTTCTGCACACACAGACCTTATATTGTACGGTCTTCTTCCCACACTTCTCCATTACCAACTACGTAACCGGATTGTTGGAGGGGCCCGGGGAGCTCACCTGGAGCAACTCCCTTCCCTTTATGTCACTTTTAAGTTGGGGGAAACTTGAGGTTCAGAAAGGTGGAAATATTTTCTAGATTGGAACTAAGACCGGAGCTCAGACCTCCTATTGCCAGGGCCTTCTTTGTAGCCTGATCCTTTCCTGCAATTCAGAGTCAGACTGACTACCCCGAAACCGGTAACTCCAGTCTTGATTATCCAGTTTGCACCTTCCAGATCCCACCACACACCAGGGAAAATGTATCTGCCTGTTACCTTCTGTCTGTCTCAGGGTAGCTCCAGGAAATAATCGTAATTGACAGAAAAGAAAGCTTTTACCGGGTACTGCAGAAGAGGCGGTTTTATATCTAGAGGTTGGGACAGCGGACTGTGCAGCCAGGCAGCCTGAATTCCAGTTCTAGCTTCTCTACCTACTAGCTATCTGGGCAGTTATTTGACGTCTCTCGGCCTTGGGTTCCTCATTCATAAATCGAGAATAATGTTGTGAGGTTTAAATGAGTTAATATAGGTATAGTGTTCAGGAAAGCATTTGGCATATAACAAACTCATCAAAGAAATAACTCTGGGCTGTCCATTATGCTGGTTTTCTTAGTGTTCTTCCTGATGCTCTATGTTCTTCCTCTTCCCTGAAGCCTCCCACTCTATATTGCAGCCAGATTTTAATCTATTAGGTCAGGCCCAGCTTTAGAGGACTGCCTTCAGGTTCCAGCAGACAGTTATGGAAGGGCAGAGGGCAGGGTAGCCACGTTGACTGGGGCATCCCCAAGTTGAGAGCTGCACAGCCGACTTGTAAGCTGAGGGGAACAGGATGTGTGGCATAGTGAGGACAGAAGCAGGGAGCTTCTGAGCTCTGCATTCGTGAGGTGAGCATGGGAGGGGCTGGCGCTGTCAGCCACGGAGCCCAACAGTGCAGAGAGGAGACAAAGGCAACCACCAGGCAAAATGTCAGACAATCAACCAGTTCCTGACCTTTTCGCTTCTGACCCTCATTCAGTAAATTCTACAAGTGACTATGTGTATCTAGTCCTCCCTTGTGAGTTCCTTAAGAGCAAGCCCTGTATTGTGTTCCCCTTTATTTATCCTTTAGCCAGTGTTTTGGCAATCAGTGATCAACAAATGTTTGAGTGTTTTTCGAGTGTAATTATATATACATGTCATGGAGCTGGGCCCTGTGGAGAGGGCCCTGATTTTAGGAAAGGAATCTCAGAGTTCGCCTATCCAACCCCCTCACTTCTGAGTTAAAGGAAGCTGTTTGCCTGGGGTTATACAGCAAGTTGCCAACAGAAGCCAAGTCTCTGCTTCAGTCTGATGTTATTTCCATGACACTGCATTGAACTTACAGTGCAATTGGAAGGAAAAACAAACTCCCTAAAAGCTGTAGAACAAAGTAAGGCAGTGTGTGGTTAAGATATGAGGCGTGGTACAAATGGGCAGAAAGGTAGGAGTTGACAGGACTAGTGTCCCCAAGGGCTGGGATCCGTCAGAAAATACTGCAAGAGACAGAACTGGTCCTGAAGGATTGGTGGGATTCAGGACAGTAGAAGAGAGAGAGAATTCCTGGTGGGGGAAGTGGCTTTCCACTGAGGCCATGGTGGATATTTAAAGGTTGAGGAAACCAGTTGGGTTAGAAGAGAGGTTTGGGTTGGATCATAGTGGGAGAAAATGGTAGGTTAAGGTGAGGCCAGATTTAGGAAAATTTCAGATACCAGCGTAAGGAGTTTTGACCTTAGTCTGTGGATAACGGGGAACCCCTGAAAGTAGGCCCTGAGCTAGGCACTGAACCAAGACAACAGGCAAGCATCTGCCAACTTGGTCTGATTTGCATCTTTTGTAGACAGTTGCTTGCCATATATGTGCATTTACTTAATTTACCCACACATGAAGGAAACTCTACCAACTAGCTTGTGTGTATTTATTTAGTCTCCAAATACACATATCTGTGTGGGAGCAGAGGAAGGAGTGGGAGATTAACAGAGTTTGTGTGCCTGCTGTAAGACCAGGCACTTTCATCCGTGATAGCTTATTTAATCCTCCCAGTCTGGTGGGGTGTGGGTCCTGCTGCTCCAGTAACACCCAGAGATGGTAAGTAACTTTCCCAGATCTCAGAACTAGGAAGCCATGGGGCCAGAATTCAAACTCATCTTTGACACCAAAGCTCTCTCCAGTCCCCTGTCACAAATTTCCAGTGAGAGGATACAGGAATTATGTTCCTACTCTCAGGTTCCTTCTTGGGGACGGGAGTGGGTGTCAAGTGTGGAGATAACCCAGCTAGGCTTACATTTCTAGCAATATTTTCACATCCCTGGTTTTCTATGCTTATCTTTAGGGAAAGAAAATTCGTATTTTGTGTCTTTAGAGGCAGATAAAGCTGGGTTTGAATTCCATTTCCACCACTTACCAGCTGGCGGCCAAGTGGACTTTCTGTGAAGCCAATGAACCTTAAGCTTTAGGAACCCCTTACATGAATAGGCCCCTGGCAAGCCCTCTACCCAAATTTGAAGCTAATTGTGCATTGTGGTACTTAAAGAGGGCAAGTGCAAAGCTCCAACAATTGTATGGCTTCAGGCCCATAAAACCTGGCTCTGCCCTACCTGGATGATCTATGTCAATTTACTTTCTGAGACTCAGTTTCCTCATCTGAATAAAATCACCTAGACTCTGCCTCTACCAGCTGAACATCCAATTGACACACACTACTAAAAAAGCTGATCTCACCCAGCCTATGCCTAAGGCAAAGGTTCACGGAGACCCTAGGCCAAAGGAAACACCTAATGGGTCCATTTGTTAAGCAGTTAGATCCAAACAATTTAGTGGTTGTTTCCAAAAATAATACACATAAATGGAAAGAACTAGATGTTTATATTTTATTTTTAAATAACAATTTCTTTTTTAAGGTGATTTTATTAATTTTTTTAAATGTTTATTTTTTGAGAGAGAGAAACAGAGGGCTAGTGGGGGAGGAGCACAGAGAAAGGGAGACACAGAATCTGCAGCAGGCTCCAGGCGCCGGGCTGTCAGCACAGAGCATGACTCGGGGCTTGAACTCAGGAACCATGAGATCATGACCTGAGCCGAAGTCGGTCGCTTAACCGACTGAGCCACCCAGGCACCCCGACTATAATTACTTTGTAATGAAATTTGTGCACCTGTGAAGAACTCAAACCTTGGAATCAGATTGCATATAACCACCCTCAGTTCCTTTTCCCCATCAATTTTCTTTGGAACACAGCATCCACTCAAAACCCAACTCTATAAAGGTAGGATGTTGTCAAAAGAAATGTCATGCAATCTAATGTTGAAACTGTGGATTTCCTTTAAGTAACAGTTTATACAGTTTGCGACAGATGTCAGGTATCACCATCTTTCCTTCAAAAACGTAAAATATTCCGAGGCACCCCTGTGAATTTTCTCTGTCCCTAGGGGGTGCCTCTGCTCACAATTTGAGTATCATCCATTAAGGACCATTAAGGAATAGTTAGAGACTATTCCGGGAAGTAACCAGAAGGCATCAGAGTTCTCTCTGGCAGAATAGAAGAGGAGGAACCACCTTTACCCTCCACAATCTGCCACAGTGTTACTATTCAGTTCTCCACAGGAAATCTTCCTGAAGTCTCTCTTCCTGAGAGTTCTCTCCACTCTCTGTTGTGGCTATTTACAAAATATCAACAAAGCAAGGAAAGATAAGGGTGGAGAGGCCTGGGCTCTAAGACACCATCTTAACCATAGCCTCCTCTTTCCAAAGTCTCTCGAAGCTTTAACCATGTATGAATCTATGAATCCACCTTCAACTTTCTCCTAAGATGCCAAAGTTTTTAATTAACTTAATTTTAAGTTGGTCTCATAAGGGTGGGAAGGAAAGAAATGTTTCTTTTATTGTATACATTCGGCAGGTTAGGATGATGGGAAATGTGCCATCTTTAAATCAAATGAAAATCTATTCTCACATGAGGCAAATTTCCGAAAGGAGAGAGCAAAGAACAACCAAAAGCTCTGTACTGGGGGGCTCTGGGATGATGGAAATGTTTTTTGATCTGAATGCAAATAACTATGTTCAGTTTGGGAAAATTCATCACTTTCGATACCTGCATCTCTCTGTATATGTACAAAGAGGGAGGAAAGCAAATTGCAAAATTAAAATAATATATAAATTACATAAAAATACAACACAAAGAATAATATTTTAAAAATCTGACAATGAATTAGAAAGGTGTGAATGTGCTATATGTTTGCGGTAATGTTATAAAATAAATTTTAGGGGGCGCCTGGATGGCTCATTCAGTTAAGCATCCTACTTCGGCTCAGGTCATGATCTCGTGGCTCATGAGTTCGAGCCCCGCATTGGGCTCTGTGCTGACAGCTCAGAGCCTGGAGCCTGCTTCGGATTCTGTGTGTGTCTCTCTCTGCCCTCGCCCCCCTTGTTCTCTCTCTCTCTCTCTCAAAAATAAGTAAACTTAAAAAAAATTTAAGATAAAATAAAAATTAAAAAATAAAATAAATTTTAAATCATTTGAAAAACAAAATAAAGCTCTCTATCCAGCTTTAAGGAAACTTTAAGTGTTGGGCCAGGAGGAGGGAGGATTGTTTCTTCTGCATGACCTAGCAGGATTTTTGAAAGGTTTTCCTTTATACCTGTTCTCCCTTTTACACCACTGAGGGTCAGATGCTTAGCTGAGGCAGACCAATAAAAAAGACAGTTTATCAGGATGTCTTGTGGAGTTAACACAGGAAAAATCCACATTGCTCACTAATTCAGGATTGGCTAAGCAACCATCCTAAGGAGCCAAGAGACAGAGGCCTCTGCTCTTTCTAAGGGCATTGGTGGAATACCTGCTCTTATCTGTGAGGCTAGCTCCTACAGCCAAGGAAACAGCCAGGGACCAGAGACTGAAGGAAAGAGCACTGGACGTCTGTAATCTGAGCACCTCTTCTGTAAAATGATAGCTAGGCAATGAATGGATAGAGTCTCTTCTAGATTGAAAATGCAATCATTTTGTGATCTAGCGATACTGAGAGAATAGTTAATAGTCTTAAGGAAACCTGAAAGGAGAAGTAAACAGCAAACCCACCCTGGAAAGAATAGTTGGTAAAGCAGTCTTCAAAATTATCACAAGGCCAGTGACCCAGATGGGAGATGCCAGGCAAACACATGAATATTACCGACTTCCAAGATAAGGGCAAAGGGGCACCTGGGTGCCTCAGTCGGTTAAGCGTCTGACTCTCGATCTCAGCTCAGGTCATGATCTCGTGGTTCGTGGGTTCAAGCCCCATGTCGTGCTCTGTGTTGACAGCTCACACAGAGCCTGGAGCCTGCTTCAGAATCTGTGTCTCTCTCTCCCTCTGCCCCTCCCCTGCTGTGCGCGCTCTCTCTCTCTCTCTCTCTCTCTCTCTCTCAAAAATAAATAAACATTACAAAAAAAAGTTTCAAAGATAAGGGCAAAACAAGAGGCTCTGGGTGCAGCAGCAGGAGCAAGCTGAATTTATGGGGCTGGGGAAGCAGGCCAGCTCAACAGATAGAATATGGTAAAACCACATGATGAAAAATTTGCAGCCAAATAGAAGTAAACATGAAAAGTGGTTGCTGCTGCTATGTTTTGATCCCATCAGTGCTATGCTGTGATTGAGTAGGTATAGCACACAAGGGTGTAAAATATGTGAGAAGTGTATGTCCTATTCAGGTCACACTCTCTGCAGGTGCAAAGTGGGAGAAGAGAAAGAAAGCAACGTGCTATAAGTTAGAGTATCAAGGAATCAGAAAGCCACTCTGAGCTGCAGTTTCCTCATCTATAAAATGAGGGTCATAATACTACCTTCCTCATGGGGTGGCTGTGACCTGTTATAACACTCAGAGCAAGCTAGGGCTCAATAGAATAGCTATTATTATTCATTCTTATAATGCGATGCCGAAGCTCCAGAAAGCTGCACAGTCCCTTCAGCCACTGATTCGGAGAATAAATCTTCCAGGACCATGACTTGCCAAAGTGTCCTGAGTGGGGAGAGTTTTCCAGAGGGTTCTTCCCCCTCCCCCCATGGCATTTTGCATTTACCTTTATTATAGCATTTGTCCATTTAAATTTTTAATTTTAATTTTTAATTTTAATTTTAATTTTTTGTGAGATAAGCCTGAGTGAGGTCATTTGTATGCAGAATGTTGCTTCTTTACCCTCCAATTTATTTTATTCTGGAAGGTCCAAGTTATATGGGACCTTTTTTGTATTGAAATATATATTGTGGAAGTTTAAAGTGTAGATGTTGATTTGATACACCTATAGATTACAATATGATTACTATTGTAGCATTAGCTAGCACCTCTATCATGTCACCAAATGATCATTTGGTTTTTGTGGTAGGAATAATTAATATTTACTATCTTAGCAAGTTTGATGTCTCTAATACAGTATTATTGTCTATAATTACTATATTGAGCATTAGATCTCCAGGATTTATTTATCTACTAGTTTGTACTTTTTTAAAAAGTTTATTTATTTTGGGAAAGAGAGCATGAGCAGGGGAAGGGGCAAAGAGAGGGAGAGAGACAGAGAATCCCAAGAAGGCTGTGCATCGTTAGCATGGAGCCCAAAGTGGGGTTCAAACTTATGAACTGTGAGATCATGACTTGAGCCAAAGTCGGACACTTAATTGACTGAGCCACCCAAGCACCCCAGTTTGTACTCTTAAACAACATTTCTTCTACTACCCTACTTCCCCAGCCCTTGGTAACTGCCATTTTACTCTCTCTTTTTATGAGTTTGGCTTTTTTTAGATTCCATATGTAAGTGGTACCATATGATATTTGTCTTTCTCTGTCTGACTTACCTTAACTTAGTTTAATGTCCTCAAGGTTCATCCAGTGTTGCAAATGGCAGGATTTCCTTCTTTCTCATGACTGAATAATATTCCATGGTGTGTGTGTGTGTGTGTGTGTGTGTGTGTGTGTGTGTGTGTTTACAAATACACCACATCTTCTTTCTCCATTGATTGACACTTAGGTTGTTTCTCCAGGGGATTCTTTCTTTTTTTAATGTTTATTTATTTATTCTGACAGAAAAAGAGAGAGAGAGAGAGAGCGAGCATGCATGCACGAG